TTTGGGGTGCACCCCCCCCCCCCCCCCCAAATACCCCCCCCCCCCGGTGTTCTGCCATCGGGGTTGGGTTTTTTGGCAACGACGTTGTAAAACAAGCCGCCCCCCCCGGTGTTTTGCCATCGGGGTTGGGTTTTCGTCGCTTGGCAACGACGTTGTAAAACCAGCCGCCCCCCACCGGTGTTTTGCCATCGGGATTGGGTTTTCGTCGCTTGGCAACGACGTTGTAAAACAAGTCAAGTCACTTCGTGAACTCGGCAACCAGGTTACCGTTTTTTTTTTTACCTCGGTTTTTTTTTTTGGCGGTAACCATAATGGTGGTCGAGTAGATCATGTTGTGCGGGGTGGAGAAACCTCACTCCGCGCAACGGGGGATGATCGCACCACGTTGTGTTAAAATGGTCAAGCTTCCTCGAGGCAGTTACACAGTGCTTACAACTGTCTCTGGAAGTGAAAGCACCAGGAAGTAAATTAAGTCATACGCAGCTGTCATTCGAATGCAAGGAAGTAAGCACAAGGTGCCGAACACCCTTAGCAGGATGCAGCTCACCCTTCATGCGACTCGCCAAATACCTCACGGCGCTTCGCGCTTGGTGATGTGAGAGCCTGGTCCGGTGAGAACCCGGCGTGCTCCGTCCCGGCTTTGTAGGGATGCGAGGTCAATGGTCAAACGACTACGGCATGCACGACTATGAGTACACCCCCCCCCCCCCCCCCAAATAACCACGATTTTGGAGTACTGTAGGCCTACGTACGTGTCTTGAAATTGTTATCTGGCCCCTACGTCATTCTATACATACCTGAAGAGCAACGGGGTGGCACTGAAGGACTGCCATGATTGTTATTTTATTCGGTGGGTACGTACGCATACCGTAGACGACATAAGATAACACACCCCGGTGATAACATTTTGGGCTTGAAAAATATTATCACCGGGTGTGGTATCCTGCGGGGGGTGTGGTATCTTGTGTACCCCGGGTGATAAAGTGCAGCTCCCACGGGCCCCTAAGGGGGTGTGATAAACCAGGGGGTGTGATTGCACGTCCGAACACGCACAGGGTGTGTTTTGGGGGTGTGATAAATGAGGGTTCGATGAAAAGGGGGTGTGAGAGCACGTCCGAATACTCACAGGGTGTATTTGGGGGTGTGATAATGAGGGGGGGTGAAAAAAGCTGGGGTGTTATAACACTCCTTGTGGAGTTGAACCGCTGCTGCCGCACTGTGGTATTGTGGGGGGGTGTGATAGCAATGCCTGTTCGAACAATTCATGACTTGTGGTTCTGCGGAATGTTTTAAAAACAAAGGAACTCAGCGGAGGAGACAAAACTCCTAAGGACATGACCTCGGTGGCCACAGAGTGCGCCGACCGTCCTGCCCCCTCACACAAAAAGTAGCTGCTGCATACCTTGCTATTGGGTATGACCAAAAGAGAGTTGCGCAGATGTTGTGTGTGTGTGCGACGTCCGCATGCCCACGGGGCAGATTCTGTATCACCACGGTGATAGAAGGAGGGGTTCCGTGAATGTATGCGGCGTAACCTCAAGGGGTGTGTTATCTTATGTAGCCCCGGTGATAAATCGATGGTTTGTCAGAATCCCCCAAATTTATCACCTGGGTGTCGTATTCTGTGTGTGTGGGGGGTGGTTTCTTGTGTGGGTGTGTTATCTTGTGTCGTATACGGTACAGATGGCGCCCGCACTTAAGAACATAGCAGTTAAGAACATGAGGCTCACTTGAGATACCCGGATAAGCACCTGTATACTAACTCCTATATAAAGATGCCCCCCCGACAAATAAGAAACGAGCCTCACGCCAAATAAGACGTTCTTAAGTGCGGGCGCCATCTCTAGTCTCGATGTATTGAAACGTGCATCCCACAGCTGTCAATAACGCTCGAACATGCCATCCGCTCACATTTTTCGAGGGTACTGATGTCATGGTTTTTGGACCCTTGGGCTAAGATGCCCCCCTTGGCGGGAATATCTATTAGAAATACACCGACCACCCTGACCACCAACAAGTAGCGGTACTGTAGTGTTCATGCGTTCCCCCTCGCTCAGTGCTGCCTGGGAGCGAGCGTTAGCGAGTGGCGGAAAGAGAAAGGAAGGCTAAGGAAGGAAAAGGGCTGAAACGGAGCAGCTAACCTGCATGCCGTGGTCGGATCGGCTCCACACTGCGATATTGTTGCAGCAGTACCAAGTCGATCAACCAGATACGCGTTATGTGTTTTTCATACGAACAGTTTCTAGACTTTCCCCGTCTCCCCACGATTCCCTGATGCCTGGCCACGTGTGTACTCTCTCGCCACGCCAAGCCTAACGGGCGCAACACGAGCAGCCGCACTAGGCTTTGAAGAGGGTATTCTTTCCGCTGGAAGTATTTAGTCCAGTCTATGTACCACGAGGGGAAAAACCCAGAATGTAGCCGCATGAGAGAGGATGACGGCTGATCATTTCGTGTAACCATGGAGTGCGAGAGGCTCTGCAATTGTGGTTTATGCTGCTGTATTGATGTCATCGGTGTTGTTGTTGTTGTCGCCGTCGTCATATCGTCTTCAGACATTTAACCGCTCAGGTCTCTGGTCAATACATACCTTCAAACGTCCGCACCTGTCGCACCTGTCCACCGGACGAAGACGCCTTTCGTGGTGACCGGCAAACCACCCAACCAAAACGGTACACGCTTTCGATGAAATATTATACCACCAAAACACATCCCAAGTGCATACCACCCTTTAATTTTCTGTTCTCGACGTTTGACGTTATCAAACGGTCGCGTCGGTCACACCCCTTGTTGCCGCTGGGTGCGCCTCTTATTCTACTCTCCACCTTTTCAGCCGCAGAATGGGAGAATGGGAAGACCCCTTCAACATCATCGGGTTCGTGGGGGGCGTCGTGCTGGGTAAGGGTGCGTGCTTGTTGCTCTGTTGGCGGCGATACGTCACTTTTTCCGCCGTGATTTGAAGCCCTCTCCTCGAGTTATTTTTATCGGTTTTACTGTGCCCTCAAATGACTATTACGACAAAGACGTGTTTTCTACTCCTTTCTTGGGTTTCGAAAACGAGTACTGTACAGTAGGCAGGTTGGGTGCGGTGCCCTCCGAGTAAAATACACGTCAGTCAGCGAAACGGTCATATCTTGTCCGTGGCTCTGTGCTTGCTTTTCTTTTGCGCCCGTCGATGAAAATCAGCGACCGCGCTGCTTCCGCAGATCTACCTCGCTCATTCCCGGAAGAGCACTGCGGATATCTCCTACCTTTGGCAGGTGAGTATCTCCTACCTTTCGCGAGCGAGAACGGTAGTGGTCGCTGCACAAGGCCGTGTGGTACCGACGGATTCGACCCGCCTTACAACGGGCGCCCGGTACAAATCGCGGTGTGGGACATGTTGGGTATCCCGTTTGGGAGATGTGATTTCACCGGCTTTGTTCGGGGCGACCGGTATTGTGTTTGGCGGCGGTTGGCTGGGACTGATGCTGTAGCTTCTGAAACCTGCCAGTCTCTCTATTTTGAAACGTCCACGTCGAGTCGAACCTCAAATATTTATTTCGTGGCCGTCGTCGAGAAAAAAATATTTAGTTAGATTTTTCGCCGCTCTTTTTCCTGCGAGTTAATGTTCTCTCCCCCGCCAATGAGCTGTACACAAATCACGAGGACGGGCTTGTGTGCACGGGCGTCTCGCGGACCAGATCCTGCACCCGACAACAGTGGCTGGAGCAGGGTAACATATGTCCAGAGCAGGCCTTTGTGGTTGGTTGTTTTCTGTGGCCATGTTGACCCATCGCTTCTTGCTTTTTCCCTGAACGTCAGGCGGTGTACACGGTGGGGCTGCTGACGCTAATGATCTACTATTTCCATTTCCGACTATGGGCCGTCTTCTATGTGAGTGAGCATGACACACCACACACCACACACCACACACCACACACCACGAACGTTTTGTTTGAGGGCTCAAGTACGGAGCAGACCGCGAGGAATGCAGGCAGTCGATCCAACATGAACCTGGCATCTCCCAGGATCCAAAAGGTCCAATGCAGCATTCACCCTCTTGCCCGCGCAAGAGCCAACTCGTATCATGAAGTACCTGTCAATACGATTCCACGGGACCCCAAGCCGCCACCACCTGAACACCTACCGCCCGTGCGCTCGTGTCCCTCCATCGACAAACACCTCCAGCCGATGGCCTTCGAATTTTCCAGCTTGATGTATCTGACGGGCCTCAAGATCTACTACGAGGTGAGGCTTTACGACACGGTAGAAGGCAAGAATCCCTAACAACATCCCTTCCCAAGAATCCGAAGACTTGAGAGATGGTTCGGGGAGGGCCGAGGGAGAGCGGAGGGAATCTGGGTTTGCAACGCTCTCCATTGCTGTGTTGAACGTCTGTTGGCTTGTCACGCACGCCTACCTCTCTTTTGGGACGGAGCGCGGGCAAACCTGCTGCGTTCGTGGGCTACTGTATTCACGAGGAACGGAGATGTCGTCAAACTTGACACCTCGAGGTGGCAGTACGCACCGCGACCACACAGTTCAAGGACGGACACCTTGTCTCCCTCCTGTTGGCCAACGACCCCAATAACCCGAAGCATGGCCAAGTTCCACACACCATCTCGTCCAACCCCTTGTGCTTCCCGGCAAACACCACGACACAAGGCATCGTGGCTTGTTTCCTCTTTCCGGACTGAGACAAAACTCTTCATCGAGAACGCTCTCCCTTTGACTCCCGGCTTCGAAGGTGTGCCTGGGAAACGTGGCCCCGCCGGAAGAGCTGCCGTCACTGCTTGAGGCCAACCGCAGCGGCCCGTCACTGCTTGACGCCAGCCGTAGCGGCCGCATCGGCAGGATGCCGTCTAAGTTGAGCCTAGACGCCATCGACGACGCTAGCAAGAGCGGGAGGAGGAGTAGGATGCTGTCAAAATCTTCCTTAAGGGATGCCAGCAGCAACGGCGTAGTGTGCCCTCAAGGTCAACCTAGCGTTTCGGGGACTACTAGCCTTGACCTTCCGCGCCCCCCAGTCATGGGGAGAACGCGCAGCCGTCCCCACTCCCCCGACGCAGTGAGCGGCGCCGGCACCGAAGTGGGAGGTGGCGCTATTCCCCGGCACGAGCAGAGGGCGGACGAAGCCAAGGAAGCTCAAGCCTCTGCAGTTGCGGCGGACGACAGCATCCACGTGCTGCCCAGTGAATAGCAGTCGATGTCATTTTGTTGCCGCAGAAGATTGCGTGCACTCGCGTGCCGTTGGATAACACGCCACCCCTGACTGGAAAAATCAGTAATTTGAATCATGTTGGTAGGTGTACGTGACACGGTAAATGATGGAGGTGTACAGCTCAGACATTGTTCATCACACGTCGCGTCCGCTAGTTCATTGTGTTACGACGGACATGATTTTTGTAGGGCGTGAGTTGGGCAAGTTTGGTACGACTCAGTCGGTATACTAATACCTAGGGTGGCGGTTGGGTGGTCGGTGCTACTGCAGCGGTGTTGGAATGCTACCCTATGGCCCGTTGTATTCGGTGCGATTCGGTTTGTCGAGAGTAATGGGGGTGGAGCAGTAGAATGGGTGGTATCAATTTTGCGCACAGAGAACAGAGAACAGAGAACAGAGAACAGAGAACAGAGAACAGAGAACAGAGAACAGTGCGTTTGCTGTTAAGGGTGACCTGACATCTTGATGGTTCCCCGCCCCGCCACTTACGAACCCTATATTTTGCGTCAGGCTCAACGCTTATTGGTTGCCTCAAACTGAGCCCATGTGCTTGTTCTCCACGTTCATAGAACAAACATCTACCTAGGATTAACGGGAGCCTGTTCGATTTCTAGGCCGTCTTACGAGGACCGGGCCCATGCAGTTGCGGAATGTCCTTTGTACGACAACGAGAGAGAAATGTAGATACCTGGGCTGGGAAGAATAGAAGGAAGGTACAGAGAGATGTTTGAGGCATGGAATTACCAGGAGCAGACGGTACGTAGCTGTATTGGGGTGTAGGAAGTGGGTTGGGTCCTAGGCGATATCGACGTGATAGAGAGGCTACGGAAACGTATTTAAGCCATCTTTGGCAAAATAGGACGGGACGATTGGTCATATTTGATCGGTCCTGTGGGAACAGTGCTCTGTCCTCTCGAGGACGCGTGGTCAATGGTCTAGCCGCTAGGCATGCGAAAACATGAGTGTGTACCCCCCCCCGCACGTCCACGCGTACAAGCAGTGTTTCACGACATTCCCCCCTAATCTGGAACTACAACTGCAGTTGGGGTCACCCCCCACCATCCTGACGACTCTCTTGCAGTCGCCGTGTTTTGGGGCTCAGTTCTTATGTTCTATGCGCATGAGGTACACCAAAGGCAGGTTTTCGGTATTAGTACCACGTCGGAACTGAACACCGGTTCTTAAGTCAAGTACAACGTAGTTGTACCCGCCATCCTGACGACTCTCTTGCAGTCGCCGTGTTTTGGGGCTCCGTTCTTATGTTGTATGTGCATGAGGTACACCAAAGGCAGGTTTTCGGTATTAGTACCACGTCGGAACTGAACACCGGTTCTTAAGTCAAGTACAACGTAGTTGTTTTTACATATTGAAGGGTTGACTCGGTATGTGCTGTTTAGGCGGACACGTTTTCGGCGGTATTGCCAGTTGGCGGTATTTATTTTGGCGGCAAGCGGCAACGCCCTTGTTGGCGGTGAAGACTTTGGCGGAGGCGGAAAAACAAATATATGGCGGTGATCTTTAGGAGACCAGCTAAAAAAATAGATTGCGGTATTTTTTCGGCGTTATTGCCACATGGCGGTAGCTGTTTTGGCGGTCGGTGGAAATGCGTTTTTTGGCGGTATCGACTTTGGCGGTGGTGATAATAAAAAAAGGCGGAACGTTTTCGGCGGTAACGCCATACGGGGGTATCGTGTTGACGGTTGGCCGCATTTGCGTTTTTGGGCGGGATCGACTTCGCGGTGGCGGTAAAACCGAAAAACGGCGGTGAAAAGGTGGAATACCGGTATCGCCAACCACGGCGGTATTTTGACGGCGGTAAGAATACCGAGTAGAGCCTTGGATATTTTAGGGTCAAATTCTTAACTGCTAAGTTCTTGCGAGGTGGCGCGGTCTGCAGTGTGGCGGAAGGAAGCTGCTATGTGCATCGGCGTGTGAAGTTTTGAAGGAATGGGTTCGAAGGGCTTCCTCTGACGTTGGTTCCTTCGTGTAAATTTTCCAAGATGCCGCACTTAGGTGTCGACCGAAGTAGCATCAGCGGCATCGAGAACCCAGAATTCTGGCGTCATTCACCTCTTAACGCATAGTAGATTCAGAAAGTCCGAGGGCTCCCGGGTAGTGCGCTTGTCTTGAACGGCTTCAAGAAGGACTACCCAACGAATTTTCCACCACAAGATTCGTCGGCGGTACGGCGGGGATGGGGTCGGTTGTGTCTTGGAGTTGGAGGGGCATGGTCACATACGTTTGTCCTCAGAAAATTGGTGACTGTTTTTCATTCGTTTCCGCCGGTTGGGAATGTTCCTGCCACAGCTTCGATTGGTATCGTTCCCATGAAAAAGTCTTGCTCTCGGCTGCCGTGGCTGTAACCGTCAAGTGGGCTTGTTTTCTCAGACCGTGCAACCGATATGCTTCCGGTTGATACCCCGACGTAACCATTCCCTTACCACTCATTCTATGGAACGAGGCATTCACGGGGGAGATGCATACAAACAATAGAGACAGGCCTTGCCGCTGGACACCTACTCAGCTGCCAAACCATTTTGACGCTAAACCCCAGTGTAGAATAGACTACGTACGTCTACCACAAATTCAGAACTCTGCCGGATGGTCCTCAGCTGGTAGTTCGAGGCACAATGGTGCGCAGAGGGTGTCACTTGTGATGTAGATTTTGCTTTCCGGCCTGAAGTCGTGGCCGTTGTCTGTGTCGGCCTTCGTCTTGCAGCACCAAGGGGTGTGGGGATATGTGAGGCCGCCTGTGTATTCTTCTTACGGTTTAGAGGTCAGAGCCCATGCGGCCTGTTTCCAAAATTACGCCGTTGCATCGAAGTGCTTACATTGAACACATGGCCGCCTCTAGTCATCCGTTCGGCGAAAAAGCACGATTTGTATTCCGAATTCATGTGTCCGAGTGAACGAAAATTCACTTTGGAACGGCTGCGTGAAATGGAATTCACTCATGAGCAGTTCATAAATGTGCATTCCTACACGTGTGCCTCTACTGAACATTCATTCACTCAACATACGAGGGAGGTAAAGAAACAATACGCATGCCTCCCACAAGTTCAAAACAACCTGCACCAACAACCGAAAGCCGCATAAATGGGCTGAATCCCCCTCCTCCTCGAATATATATTTAGGCGAGCAAAGCTTCGCATCTGTTTAAAAAAGACTCTGCTCACGATGGACGTGCGTCCCGACACGGCCCCGACCGCTGCGAGCTGTTGCAGAAAGGTCATTCCATGTTCTCTTCCCCTCTTCATCCTTCGTTCTGTGTTTTATTTGCTGATGGTTTGGGCGCAAGCTATTTCTATGCATTCGTGCCGTCGATTTGCAAAGGAGAAACTTATCGACCGTGGGCAGCACAAAGCGGACTCATCATTGTTGGCCAAACAAGCTACACAACGTTCTCCTGTGATTTCACAACCCTTCCTGAATACCAGGGGGTCAGACGGTACAGACGCCAGTCGTGGATCATCGGCCAGTCTGGCACCGAGTATCGCCCCAACCCTCGCGAAGAAGTGACATGTTCCTAAACACGGTCCGCCGGAACAACGAGCGACCTCACGGGGGATGGCGCTGACCGTATTTCATATTTCACACGTTAGCCCGTTCTACATTGTGCTTGAGGCGAGGAGGGAGAACCTCACTACATGAAAACATTCTGGGATGGTACGTACATTTTCGTGGGAGTTAACAAAAATACTATTTTCTTAACATTTCACGGACAACACATTGCAAAGTATGCACTGACAGACTATATGAATAGCCGGTCGCCCCGGTGGTCTAGTTGGTAGCCTCGTAACCTTCTAGAGGTCAGGTCAGCGGTTCCAATCCCGGCGTAGGCGAGCTTTTCTTGCAAAGTGAGTTTTTCTCTCGCTTCCGCTCCTGGCGAAGTGGATAGCGCTAGTTCGTGTGTACACAGAGGGAAGAGAGTGCTGAATCTTCTCGCATTAAAAATTGAAGGCGAAGTACCGCAGGAGGGGAGGGTAGAGATAGGCTCTTCTGTGTGACCACGGGTTGGAATAAACGGCACTAGTGCTGTGAGCGCTGATTTGAAGTGAAGAACAAAAAAAAAAACTGAAACCTGCTTCTTGTGTCTGTGGTCACTCTGAGGGTGAAATACACGATTTATATATAGTCATGCTTCGACCTCCAAAATCGTGTAAACTACCTACCTACACCTGCGATGCATTCCTTGTTTGCTCTCTGCGTATGGGGATTCTAGAAAAAGGGCAATGAAAAGAAGCACCCGAACCCTGCCTTTCTGTTCCACACACATGCGCCCTTATCACGAAAGCCACAACTGCACCAGCACAAGCAACTTCAGGCCGCGTCGACGGCTGTTATCATCTTCCTCGGCGCGGGCATTGCAACAATGCAGTCTCGACCTCGATTCACAATCACAACAGGTACACGACCCCACAACACGACACAACTCGGCGATTAAACAACACCTGTGCATATCGACATGCAAATGCAGCATTTGAAACGCTTCTGTGTGCCCTACCCCCTGTGATCCCGTCTAACAGATGCACCGAAAAGGTGTGCAGACTGGAACAGATGGGACGAGCACACACGCTCGAAACAACCTTTAGGACTTCAACAAAAAGGAGTCATGCAAATCCGCTCCTATTCATATCTCGTGTAGACCACCGACGCTCACCCCCGACAAACTCCGCCGAAGTCCTACGACACACGGGCGGCAAGGCTTGTTTCAAAGGCCACCGAAGCTCGCCCCCTTCCTGACCCCGCCCAAGCTTTCCGAAAACACACGGGCGGCCGGGGTTGTTTCAAAGGCCAGGGCTGGCCACACCTGCCCGTATGCTTGAAGACGATAGGTCTTCTCGGAACGAAGACTCGTCCAGCCCAAGGAACATGCCTGCCCAAGGTGGAGGTGAGGTACGCAGGCAGGCAAGATCCATCAAGCCGTGGTTGGTTGTGGTTGGGGGTTTCGGCGCTGTGGATGTCACTACAGGAAACTACTTCCATGTCTGCCACGAACGTGCAGTGGAGATCGGGAGACAATGGATAAAGCGGGGAACGGGCGGGAGTCAAGCAGCGATCCTTGAAAAAAAAAAAGCACCAATACGCGTCGACGGTCCAAAGCCAAGACCGGCCCCCTGGAACCATGCTGAGGAAATGTGAGAACGTCGGAGTGACCAAAATTACACATTAGCATCCATCGTGAACGTTGAAAATCTTTCTCTAGCAAACAATTCTGCGATTCATCACGACCACTTTTACGCCACGTGACTGCTATATCATATTCCGCTACCTTCCCTTCTGTGTCTAAACAACGTACAGCTCAAAGAGACCAGCTATTTCAACTCTTCATTTGGCACAGCAGGCCTAGTCGCAACTCACTTCGAAGGGATTCCGGTAAGCCGCTCTGCGCCAGCACTCCATCAAGGGTCAAAAAACGACCCCCGGCGTCCTCCCGTCCGCCCACGATAAACGAACACCCCAGGTGCCGAATCTCGGACAACGCAGACACCATTTCGACCTAGGCGGGGGTGTTGGTTGGAACGGTGTGCGAAAACGAGCATGGTGTCAGTTGATTGGCTCCTGTGAAGTGTCACCGTAACCTGTCCGCCTGCCGCACGTTTCTATTCTGAGGGGCGTGCAATGACGACAGGTATTTGGTTGGTCTCACTTCAACTGCACGGCGGTGACAAGCGGCATGTTTATAGCTTGAAACCGCGCAAACTCGTGCAATGTATGTGTTCACACGAAATGATGACAGTGCCGAGACTTCAGATCCTTGGTGCGGTTATTTGAAGTGTCCCACAAGGAGCATCGAAAGGGCGTGGAACATGAACTAACCACACGAGGGGTAAAAAATTCGGCCCAAACACGCTGAAAAGCGAAGCATGTGCTCCATGCGTGCGTGTGCGCCTCACCTGGCTGTTGCCATAGTATCTCGGGTCGATGATGCGCTTGGCCGTGTCTGCCCCGACCACAAAGGCACAACCAGGGAACAGTCTTGCCTGTCATTTCAGAGGGGCCATCAACGCGAGCAAAGACAGAGAAAACGAGAGAGAGAGAGAGAAAAGAGAGAGAGAGAGTAACAGAGGGGGGGAGAGAGAGAGAGAGCTGGTTTGGGGCGGAGTCCGGAAGTAGCAAGGTCGTCCCATCTGGACAGCGCCAATGTAGTCCTGCTCCTGACCATCAAAACAACAAACCAAGCGATTCTCGTCCACGCCTCGTCTTTCGTTCGAGACAAGACAGAGACAAGACAGGCCAGGAAAATGGGGACGAGGGGGCGCCGTTGATGCCTCTACCCCCCGAAAATACCACAATGTGCCAGTGGCACACGAGTCTCTGGAGGTTGCGTGCACCCAGACAATTCTTGCACGCTTTTCACTCTCCGCACGCCTGCTCTGCACCAACCGCTTGCTGCTCCTTCTCCGGGCCCCTGGCCGTCGGCTAGGCGTACCGTCTTCCACGGTACATCATCACGGGGAGCGGTGCTTCACACACGCAAGCCGACTTGGATACAGCCACACGATACCAATGTCGAAAGCACTGGGGAAACAAACTCGCTTTTCTCCGACCTCTGCCACCCCACCTTTTCTGAGAATAGCGGCGCCTTCGTCACCGCCACCGGGTAAGGCCAGCCGACACCCCCAGGCTCGCTGAACTGCATGACTCGCCGCTGAATCTCCTCCACCCCCAACCCCCCCTTGTCCACGTTCGACACCGAAATCTCGAAGATGCCGTGCACCGCGGTACGCTTCCTCTCCCGCTCCTCATGCCCGACATCGCCGCCGCCGGCGTCGACGTCCAAGCCCCCGCTCCCGCCGTCGGCGCTTGCGGCCCCCGCCCCCATGCCCTCGTCCGCTTGAACCCCTTGCTCTCCTTCCCTCCCCCACCCGGCAGCAGCCTTGTCCGTCGCCCGTGGCTTCTGCGGCGTCTCCCCTCTCCTCGACTCCCCGTTGATTTCGGCGTCTAGCAGCGACCGCGCGGCCTCTAGGAGACCCACGTGACCCCTGTGGAGGGGGTTATAGGACCCCGGGAGAATCACCGTCGCCCCCCGTGGAAGCGCCGCCCTGACCATCGCCCCTTCCCGCAGCACGACCACCGGCGCCCCCGCTTCGACGGCTTCGCCGGCGGCGTTCGTAGCCCCGCGGGTGTCCCTCGGCACGACCAACGCCGTTCCACACCTCCCGGCCACGAGCTCCTCGATGGCGTCGGGGTCGTGGGCAAGGTCCGCCGTCGGCACCACCTCCGTCGATACCACCGTTTCCACCTCCCCTGCCGCCGCCGCCGCCGCCGCCGCCGCTGCTCCCCGCCCCGCCTCCACCCCCTCCTCCTCGTACACCGACGGGAGGTCACCTCCGCCGCCGCCGTCCAGCAACAGGTGGTCGGCCTTGAAGCCGAAGGGCACCGGCACCCCCACGGCGTCCGCGATCGCTTGGAGCAGAAGCCGGCTTACGGCGGCGTCCTCGCCGGACCTGGTGGGCGGCGGCCGCAAGCAAGTCGGGACGCCAAGCAGCCAGACACGGGGGTAAGGTGGTGATGGGCTTGACAGCTTCGTGACGAGTGGGTCTCTGCGAACGTCTTACGTCCGAGAGGCTCAAGTAAGCTACACGTGCACGGCTATTGCCTTTGCTTGTTTAGCCGTTCAGACTATGCTCGTGAAACACAACAGGCCAAAACATAGCGGCGTACCGCCAAGCAAAAACAAAAAAACGGTACTGCTGCTGTACAGGTCAATACCATCATGATAAAAAAGGGTGCGGCTGGCCGCCCATGTACGTTCGCGACCCCCGTAGAGCAGAACCTTCCCCCCCAAGAGCCCAAGAGCCCAAAGAACATGGCAGAGCACGGCCAGGCAGCAGCACCACACCGAAGAACAGTTGGAGACCCCCAAAGACACAAAACACCACGGCTCACGCGTACTCCCCGCTCCCACACACACTCACAATATACAGAACGCGGCACCACTCAAAAACTTGGCAGCTGAGAACTTGAGCCTCAACAATCTCGAAGTCGAAGAACTTGGCCAAAAGATGAGTTGCTCAGTCAAGAAACCCGCACTAAATAAAACCTATATAGCCGCCTTGGGGGTAGTCTCCCCGTAGACCTAAAAGAAACGAGCCTCGGCCAAACCAAGAGCTTTTTAAGCGGTGGCGCGTGCTGTGCATGTGTCACCTGTCTCTCCGTCCCTTGGACAGGGTGAGCTCGTAGTGCGCCAGCCCGTCCGCGGTTTGCGCGCAGACGTAGCACTGGTGCGGCCCCCGTCGGGGCTTGGAGGACAACACCGCCGCCGTGCAGCCGACGGCGATAACGCGGCGGTCCGGCAACACGTGGGGCCCTCGGTCGGGCGATTCCGCGACGCACAGGGAGACGGCTCGGGCATAGGCGTTTCGTGCAAGCCCCTCCGCGGCCTTGGACGGTTGTCACGGGGGGGGGCGGGGGGGAGGGTGCATGAGAGTCGGTCGAATCAACACCTGTGTTGGATGGCCCCCATTGAAGCATGGATATCGGTAGCTTGTCCCTAACAGTGCTCGGTTCACGCTCAGTTTGCTGTGAACGCAAGAAGTAGTCCGCTCCGACAGGGCAGACATGCAGGTGGACTGCTGCTCTGCTGCTGCTGGTTTGCACCAACCATTAACCAACTCGTGAAATATTGTGCAGCTTCCCTCGTGTACATACAACAGCTGGGGGTTTTAGCAACCTCCCAACAACGGCGCACCTCTCGAGAGCAGTATCCCGGGGCGCGCGAGCCTGCAGCCATCCTGTCCTCGAAAGCCTTGAAGCAGTAAGGAACCGTCGCCTCTAGGAGGCACGCGCTCGCTCCAGGGACCCCTAGCAACCAAGATATCGCTTGCCCTCCCGCCCTGCGATGCGACAGAAAAACAACGTAGGACGAGCTTGTCGATGCCAAAGTCTCGGGGTGATCGCAGCGTACGATGGGGCCGGTGTACCAGTGTCAGGAGGGAATATGGTCGCTAATTCAGGCCAGGTCGATACTACCGTTTTTCGTGGCAATGACTTGTCGGGGTTCAGCAGCAATGGTGCCACCCAATATTGTAGTTGCTATGCAGGGCATCTTGCTAAGCAGGGGGTCGCTAAACCCGGCCCACCACTGCTGTAACCGAAACGCTGTCTTTGGTCTTGGATGGCCTCGACAATACTGGTGTCTCCTGTGCGCATGCCGACAAGGTCCCTGTTGCCACGATGTGCCTTGTTGCGCTAGCGGCCAGACACGTCTGTTCCTTCAAAACGCGTCAGAACTATTTGTTATAGGATTTCATTTGAATCCCGCAAGGGCGTGCCCAGCCGGTTCGGAAGTCGGTTTAAGGGGTGCAAGGTGCAAGGGAGAGGGTTTTCCTGGTGCCGGCTCCCGGCACGCCGGCCCTCAAGCTTCCCCGAAACGCACGTGGGAATGTTAAACTCTGCCGAACCGATGCGAAAACTCCAATTGGCAGCCCTACACCTCGCCCGGCCCGAAAGCAGCGGTAGTGAGAGTTGAAAAAACGAACAGAATAACACGTGAGACTGGCTTCCTCTCCTATTTTGCTGCTGGCCAAGCCAGCTGTTGCGGCGACACAAAGGCAAGGGGGGTGTAAATAGGTTCGGACAAGTATTATTGTTTGCCAGCAGAGAGCCTTCGACAAACACACACACGCCAACCTGCATACAGCAGCAAGGCAGGCGGATACGCATCCCTTTGCTTGCGTCAGCTGCACCGCTTCTCGTTAAAAAACTGAAATTTGGCCATTTCTGCGGTAGTAGAGCCCTACAGCAGCAGAAGTCATGGCAGCGACGTGCCCCCGCCCCACTTCGCAGATACGCACCGTACATGCGGAACGTGCGGTACGAGTAAAACTGATACAGAAAGTATCACGTCTGCTGCAGATGCAACATATTCAACTCTCAAACTCTGCTTATTGCTACCGTAGAGCCTGTGTTTTGATCGCGCGCTCTCTTTCTCTCGTCTTATCTCGGTCGATCGATCTGTCGCCCAGATTAGCCGTTTCTTCTGGCACACATCATGCAGTTGAGCCGCAGTTTTGCACACCTACTACAGAGTTCAGGTTGTGTGCTTTTCCACGATTACAGAAGTTCTCCTCACCCCGCAGTAGACACGCAGACTTGGGGCGTGGGCTTGGAGTCATACACCGCTCGTATCAGCGCCGAGGCGTCATCCGGCACCATCCCAGACGTGATGCTGTCCCCACTGGCATACGAGGCTGCTGATGATACAAAGGGGCGCCGGCCAACAGCGGCAGTAGCGCTAGCAGGGCCAACGGTAGACGAAGCCCGAAGCGTGAACGTTCTGCTGCTGCTGCTGCTGCTGCTGCTGCTGCTGCTGCTGCTGCTGCTGCTGCTGCTGTTGAGCACTACGAGCAGTGGTCTCCTCCTGCTGCCGCCGCCGGTTGCTGCGAGGGTTCTCGGCAAGGAAGATGTGATGGTCGTCGTCGTTGACGTGGATAGGTGACGGACATTCGCCAGAGACAGCGAAGAGTAGGATGACGGCACGGCGAACGCCGTTGACAAGGTCGTCGCTGCTGCGGAACACAGGTAGGAGAACGGAGAGGCCAGCCACATTCGTCCCGAAGCCAGCGAGACTGCTGACTCTTGGCGATTCCGAGGGGTGTGGTGTGCATGCGGCAGCACGCACGCGCTGGTGAAGCATGCGGGGCAAACAAAAACTGGGGGGGGCTCATGACAGCCTTGACATTACATAGTAGCAGGGGGGGTTGGGGGGGGTTCTGTTTTTTTCTTGAGAGCCCCCGATGATTGCCAGCAGAGGTTGCCGTGTTGCCGTGCACGGCCAGCAAAATGCGTGCTGCTGCTTGGAAGGTGTGCGTGCCGCTTGTCCACCTTTCCGTTCGACGAGCGTCTGCCTTCTCCTTGCCCAACCAGTCGTCGGCCTCGCTTCGGTCTTGCAGCAGCAGCAAGCGCAGCAGCAGCAGGAACCAGAGAGGGATTGCAACAAGCATGTCGGGCGGAATCAAGAACGTCGTGGTGATCGTCGCAATGGAAGGTGGGGGTACTAGAGGGCGGGGGACGAGGCCAGCTCAATTTTTATCACTGAGGGCGTCCATGCTGGCACGGAACACGCGGTATTCTCGTACTAGTATGCCCTCCTGATGAGGACGCATTCCCGAGAATAGACGACTGATGAGAGATGATATTTACGGACATGTTGCTGCCGTCATGAAAACGTAATTGCGCCGCCTATTCTTCGTGCGGAGTTGTCGAAATGGCGGTGGTGAGTGACAGCACCTGCGCTACGCGCTACACCATCCTAGCGACCCGGCGATCATAAGGATAATTAGGTGGTCAGCCCGTGCGAAAGCTATTGCTGACTCTCTCTCTCTATATATATATATATTTTTTTTTTTCTCTGTCTGGTTGCGCGCCGTGCCCCGGGCCACCCTCTACAGCCGAAGCGTGTCCACTGATCGAACGCCTCGGGCTCGTCGAAGACCCGGACAAGTTCCCTGCCGCCGCACCTTCCAAGTGCTTCAGTGGCTCCTACCAAGGGGCAGCGATCAACGTGGTCACAAACGGGAAATGCTCCCGGTTTGGCGTGGACCAGATCGGAACCGTGGCGGCAGGACTGTCAACTTGGCTGTCGGTTGAGGTAAGAAGATTTGCAACTTACTCTTATACCACAGGACGCAGCACCCCTCCTCAAGTTCGTGCTGTGAAGGGAACCACAACATATCCGCAAACGAATTCACGCGTGTGTTGGTAGACTATCGAAGCGTCATCGAAAGACAGGCGGTGGCGAATGAAAGCGTGTGTGATGCGGTTGTTTGCGCTCTCGGAGTTGGAAATGTTGACATTCACGTAAACGTAGCCGTTGTGAGGATTGCTTTGAGTTGATTTACAATTAAGGTAGCACCGTCGATTCCCTTCATAGGTGTGGCAGCCAAGAAAGGCAGCATTGATGATAGTGTGACGTTGTGCACCAATAACCAACTCTCATTAGACTTCGTTTTTTTCCAAACAACGCGAAATGGCAGAAACCTTGACAGCTGCATGTGCACGTCTTGCCCTCCTCTTGTCTGATAGTGAGCGCAATCGATTGTCGACGTACAATCTTTAGGTTTTTTTCGCATGGCCACGTCCCCAGTGCCTCTTATCTCGCCTCCCGCCCATGTATGTCGCCTTTTCACGAGCTCCACCCCCACCTCCCCCCTCCTTCATCGTTCCCTCCCCCCTGCTTGGCCAGGCGATCAAGCCGGATATCGTGATAAACGCCGGTACCGCAGGCGGATTCAAGAAGCACGACACCGCCATCGGCGATGTTTTCATCAGCACCAGCGTGAAGAACCATGACCGAAGGTGTGCGGCGCGATAACGTAGGGTTATTTCTTCCTCGGGATCCAACAACGGTAGTGAATAGCCCGATGATGTTGCACATCCCTTTGAAAGTGCCCCCCCCCGCTCCGACCAGGTTCCAGAATCGACACATCTACACGTCTCATCCGCTGCGTACCTCGCGCCTGCAGTAGTTTTTTTTTTTTTGCCTTCACTTGAAATCAGCGCTCACGGCATTTTGGCACTGTTTACTACAACCCGCGGTTGCACAGCGTGCAGCAGCGCGCACGGACAACGCAACAGTTAGATTCACGCGCGTTTTTTCTTTTTTTTTGGGGGGGGGAGCGACGCAGAGTCTATGACAATGAGTTAAGTACTCTTCCACCCCCCCCCCTGCTGCGTGCGTGCGTGGATATATTCTGAAGAATCCCAATCCCGGGTTTCAAGGAGTTTGGCATTGGCAACCACGAGTCCCACCCTGCGCCGGAGATGCTGAAGGAGTTGGGGTTCAAGCAAGGGGTGGTTACCACCGGTAGCTCATTCGACCACACGGAGACGGACGACAAGATGATGGAAGAAAACGGTGATCAGAACACACAGAACGGGCACGGAAAAAACGTCAAAATCGGGTCGAGGCTGAGGTTCTTTTTTCATCGCCACTACTGTCGAGCATAAGTGATGTAGTGTAGGATCCACCGCTGAGCTTTTTTTTTTTTTTCTGATCTTTCGTGAACATTTGAGCCTCTGTTTCTTACCGAAATACCAGCACTAAGCTGCGGGCCCGGTATGCACACTCCACGCTCTTGTGTTCATTCGCTAGTGTCGTACTGCTTTTCCACCGCAGCAGTTTTTCCACCTCTGGAAAGAAGAAAATAGTTGTGGTCCATCCACAGCATCCTGCACAGCAACTTGTCCGTTCACGTTGTTTGTACAGCCACCATCCTGACAGCGAACATCAAGCAGCACCACCACAACCTCCGTGAGAGGCGCGGAGGGCAGCAGCGGCTCAGTGCCCACTGGCAACGCCGTTTTCATTCAACCCCTTGTAGCGTGTAAACTGACCTCCGCCATGCGCTGCCCGTCCGTTCCCGTCGCACACACGTGCGTTCGTCTTTTTCTCATCCCGGCTGGCAACAAAATGAATTGTTGTGGTTGGCTTTGGCTTTTTTGTAAACAGATGCAAGGGTGAAGGACATGGAGGCGGCGGCCGTGGCCTGGGCTTGCGAACAGCACGGGACCCCTCTCTTTTGCATCAAGGTGGTCACGGACCTCGTAGATGGTGGAGGGGTAGGAGAGGTGAGTAGAAGACGGAGCCCCCGCGAAACGCCAACGTGCCTTTTAGAAGCGTTTCTGTTTTCAGACGCACAGAGACTGACGTAGTTTCATTGGTCAGCCGGTTTAGCGCGGTCGGTGCTAGTAAGCAAAACACACGCGGGAATCACTGCCCCAGTATTCGTGATAGGTGGCCGGGGAGAAAAAGAGACTACAAGCTACACAAGTACAACCCGTATTTATCCGTTGTCTTTTAGAAAGAATTGGCTGTCCCAGGTATCCCATCCCATCGAGACCTATCCGCGGAGGTATGGAAACCCAGATTACACGCGGTGTGAATAAGCATGGTGGTCAGGAGATGTGAATGCATGCGGAGAGCACCGGGAATGCCTCTCTACGGGACGGGATAGCCATCGGTCGCTCTCTTCCCCTGTGTGCACGCTGTTCTCTTACGCGCCCCCCCCCCCCCCCCCTCTCTCTCTCTCGTTTCCCTTTCCCTTTTCTCTCTCCCC